ACGCTTTGGAGCGAGCCCGACGAGAAAAGGGTAAAGATCGGAATGAGAAGCAATTTTTTCGAATTCAATCGAACGAACCTTTTGCAATAAAGTGGGGCATTCAATAGCAATAGCGATAAATTGGGCAAAAACAGGCGAATGGCAAGGGAAGGAAAACGTATTCGTCTAAACAGAAGCAAACGAAACATGTTAAAATAGTAGAGACAAAACGAACTAGACTGGTCATTATTTTACTGCAAAAGGCTTGCTTGATCGATTTTTTGAACTATTCAGTAATTTCGGTTTATTTTCCTGACCGCGTGTGATTGTTGTTGTGTTCTTTTCCTTCCTGGGTTTCAGTCAAAGTGTAAAATGCAAATTTGTACATCGTTTATTTCATAACGTTTCGGCGAGACAACAGCGCCATCATCAGATTTAAAACTCACACAAACTCATAATTGGGAATTCCAATAAAAAGTTGAACGCCATAAATAACCTAACTGGTTTTCGATTAAAACGCATTTGGCGCGTTGAGCCCTAGTTTTGGATGGTCCCCGGTAGCGCGACTGCCGCATTTGACCGTTATCGACTATTCGCGGCGCTGTGCTGAGGAGAGAGAGGGCAGATGAAAGATCAGCCCTCTTGCCCCGTATACGAGGGCAGCCTGTTTAATTAGAACACCGTTTACAAATAAAAAGGTTTTATTTGGAACAAAAAAGTGGCGACTTTAATGCGTTTAGGGGTTTGCATCGAAAGCAAGCCCGTTGCGCAAACTGCCCAAAAAATCAGTGGCGTAGCAAGGAATTTCTATGTTTGCTGCATTGGCATTGACCAGCCCCATAGGGGCTACCGCCCTTAACCACACCCGCAAGCCACTGCTAACAATCAACAGGCCAACCGAAACTCAAAAGTCTCAAGAAAGCGCTTATTGCATCGTTTGGAGCTATACAGGGTGGTTTACACTTTAATCAGCCACCCTGTATAACTAAGGCACCTGAATATATTGGGGTTTGTTTGCGCAGGCAACAAATTGCGGATTTTTGGACGGTTTTAATGTCCCAAAAAAATGCGTG